TTTTTTTTTTTTTTTTTTTTTGGAATAGTAATAGGACCTCCTAAATCTGAAACTGGTTAACCACGAATCAATCCTTCTGTTGAATCCATAGCAATTGTTCTAACTCTACTATCACCCAAATGTTAAGCCACTTCCAATATTAATTTATGACTTGTCCCTTAAACTTACAATGCATTCAAGATTGGAGGAAGTGGTCCATCAAATTGTACATCAACAACTGCACCAATTACTTATGCTATTTATCCTGATGTTGTGCTTCCTGTTTTACCTGTCTCTGCTTGCTTCTTAGCAGCTGAGAATCCTATTATACACTTTAGCTTCAATATCTACCTAGACGCATCTATTTGGCTAATGCCCTTGTGAGCATTTTATTTATTTAAATAATTTTTAGATATTCTCATTCAGGATATTCAAAATTTAAATAACCATTTTATCAATTAATTATATGAGTACTTCATCATCTCTCCTCTCATAACTATCATTCAATCATCTATTCCCTTACTTCACTTCTCCTTTTTTTCTATAATTTTTCTACCATCCTCTTATCTTAAACCAACAACTACATCTCTCTTATTAATTAGATCCTATCTTTTTAGTATTTTTAATTCTATCCTTATATATATAATTATCTTTTTTAGATAATGAATATATATATTCATTATTCATATCTCATTTCACATCTGATTTCATCTTTTTCAGTCCTTCTGTTAATATCTATTGGAAACCCTTGAAATTGCCTGTATATTCCTCAAATCCTTTCAAATATTTTGCAAACATATAACTTTTCAATTATTATATATATGTACTTAGAAAATTGAAAAAGCTTTGTCTACTTTGATTAACCGAAATTCAATCCTGCTACTACCTAACCATCTCTTACATCAAGCTAATTTATATACAATTTCTACTTCCTATCTTGTACGAGCTGTAGCTAAAGATTAAAGTGCATGTTCTTAAAATTCAACTTGAGCTTTTTGTTCAGCTGCCTCTCTATTTATTTTCTATAATAACTATATCTTACCTTAAACATCCTATTGCATCATTGTAAGATTTAAGAAAAACCTTGGCTTCATAATATGGTTACTCTGTGAACATTATATTTTTATTAAATTAAATCAAATCAGTCTTAAATTTGGCAAACCTACGAATACAAAATTATGAGTAAAGAGTCTCTTTTTCTCAAATTAGACCTCTTTCAAATTTTGTATCTCTTAAACAGGTTCAGCCTTTCCTCCTTTCTTTATCTCCACCTGTTAAGGCTTTTTGTCTATAATATTTCCATTCTCATCTTCATACTTTATTATTGGGGCCTTAAATATATATATATTTTGTTACTTTATATCTTTATAAACATGCAGCAACATAAATATCTTCTGTTAATTATTTACACAAATTTTCAAAAGCTTTTAAGAATTCTACAATTTGTGGTGACCATTGTGTAGTTAAAATTGTACTCACATCAATTAGAGTTAAAAATACAGAAATCTTGAAATTTTGTTCTAAAATATGAGTCTTTTCACCATCTAGATCCAAAGATGAAAATTTCTCAATTAAACTTTTTTTAGCATTCATTTTATCAAATACAACCCAAAACCTTGATGTATTAATTTCAGAAAGGTCCATAATTACTTTAGATGATAATATGTTTAAAACTCCAGGAGATCCATACCAAAATATAGAAGAACCTGTTTAAGCATATTTTTGTAATTCACCCAAAGATGCCAATCTACTTGAAGAAAATGTCTAAAAATTAATAATAATTTATTTACTCCTTCAAATTTAAGTTAAGGTACATTTTTTTAAATTTCACTTAAAGTTTTTTGTAAATTAAATTCATCTAAATTAAGGTCTTAATCTTCTGTTTTAAAATCATATGTTAAATATTTCAACTTATCTTTTTCAATTCCTTTTTAACTATTATTTAGTTGAGTTTAGAATCCAACATTTTTAAGTCTTCTAACATACATAGGCATACTAAAGTCTCTTGACATTGCAGCTATTTTAAAAAATACATTAAGTTATTCAATAGGATATTCAAAGAACTTTGGATCTATTAGTAAAACCACGGTGTCTATTTTACCAGGCGCTTATTCTAACGGAGATTCATAAGAAGCTATTTCATCTTTTCCTGGTTTTCCTTTAGTTTACTTTCCTTAATCTTTTTTTGGAGGTTATGCTTTAGGATCAACAACAACAGGTTGAGGTACTTCTTCTTAAGTATTTATATTCTCATCAATCAATTAAGGTATGAATTTCATAAATTATTCTACATCTGAACAAAACTTGCAATATTCTTTTTCCATTTCATCTTCCAATTTTATAAAGTCTTATTATAAAATTATAGGAGTTTTAATTAAATTATTTTTAATCTAATCTAAATTCATTTTCATTTAACTCATTTTATCATGTGTCTTAGAATCAAGTGGAATTCTTTATACTTTATAAATTGGAGTTTTTGTATTATGTAAATATCCTAGATATAAATATGTCTTATTTTGACTCATTTACATAATAAAAAAACCAGCAGTTTATTATAATTAAGTTTATAATTCTGTCAATGGAAATATCATCAAATTATCCCATAATTTATTAGCTTCAATTAATAATTTAATTGCATCTTAACTTAAAAATCCACAAACAGAATTTATCATTTTTATTAATCTAATATAAACGATCATCTTATGCTTTCCAAAAAATGATTGTCTCACCATATTAAACATTTATTCACAAAAAGCAAAATGTTGAAACTTACATAAATAATCATATGATATTTCAGGACTTTTAATACCTAATATATCTAAAGCTGATTCATAAAGCATTTTTAAATAAAAATTCATTTACTTAAATCCAAAAATACTCCATTCTAATGGGACAGTTGTATTATCTCCTTTTGCTTTCAATACAGTAAATGCTTTTGATTCTATATCCTTTATTAATTTTAATACACTTTGTAAAGCATCAGTCTTATAATCAAATTAATTGTCTTCTTCTGGCTATAATTAAATAGCTTAATCTTGTTCTTATGTAGGTATTTCCCATACATCATTTAATTATTATTTACTTATCGCTAAATATCTTTTTGCTTTAACTAACTCAATTTCAGCTATTGTATACCAAAAGGAATCTTTTTTCAATTGTTTCAATGTTGATAATAAAATAGCAGTTGCCTTTTCAAAACTTTCTAATCTTTAAGGAAGTGGTTATATTGCTCTTTAAATTTTAATTGTTAATTAAGTTAAGAATTTTTAAAGAGGTTCATAATTACTTAATTATTCAATAGGTTTGTCATCTACCTAATCATTATTATTATCATCATCTGATCCTTATAGATCAGGTAATTACATTTATTTTCTTAACCATTTAATCTATCCCATTTCAATAAAACAAGAAGCCATTATAACACGTATTTTAGCTTATAAATCCATAATTGGTGATCTTATTGATTCTGATTCTTTTTCTATAAGTAATGTATATTTTAATAATGATCTACTCTATTGTTCTAATGGTTTTAAAATTGAATTCAGTAATCTTTAAATAATTTTAAAGTATATCTCAACTTAATCAATCTTTGTATAATTTTTATTTCTTATAAAAATTATGATTTTATTTACTAAATTTAGTATCAAATCTAATTAATGTATCATAAATCCTCCATGCTATATGCATTTCAAAGATTTTTCCAAATTATCAATAATTTATTTGAATGTTTCATAAGAAAATTCTTTAAATAAATCTTTTGTTGAAATTTTAGATGACAAAATATATAAAGTTGTTAATGTTTGATATATTTATAATTTATTTGGTTGATAATTAGGTTGATTTAATACTTCTAATAAAACCTCTGTAATTTATTTTAAGAATTATCGAATATCATCATATTTACCTAATTTTTATAAAGACTTATATGTTTCAATCGATGAAACCTCCCATTAATTTACATTTTTAAATAATTTATGTGAAAGTTTGTGATTTTCAATTGAATCTTTGAATTCACCTTCCAAGAATGCAATTTATCCTTAAAGACAAAGAATTCTACCCATTAATTCCTAATCAGAAACTATTTTAGCATGCTTATGAGATTCAATTAATAATTCTTTGGCTCTATAAATTTCCCCAGAATAAATTAATTCATTACCTAAATCAGTTAGAATAGTGTAAATGTATATTTCACTTATAACATTTGCTTAAGGAAGATTTTATTCCACAACATCAGCTGATTTTGATTAATTTTATTATAAAACACTAGATTCAGTTTTTGTAAGTAATTATTTTTTTTCCTATTCAGTCAATTTAAATTTAACAATATTTGATTATTAATAGATCAAATCTGCTTCATTATGAAACCCAACTTAATGTAAACATTTACTGAATTTAACATCAATTAATTTATCTAAATAAGTATTATTCAATATTTCTTTAACAAAAAATTTCTAGAATACAAATATTGGAACATTATGAATTTAAAGACCATATTTTTCAAAAATAGTTATAAGATTATTAATATAAGTATAAGTTAATTAGGCTTTATCAAATAAATATTTACCCATAAAATTAAAATCTTCATAAGTTTTAACTTTTTCTAGAAATTCTTTGTTAAATTATAATTTAATCCATTCTTAGATACATGTTGGTAAAAGATATCTTGGTGAGAATTCATCTTATTATTAAGGTTTTGATTGTTATTGTTATTATTATTTGTTTGTTTTTTCATCATTAGTATTAGTATATTTGGCAGCATTTTCTTCAAATTCATTCATAGTTTGAAAAGATATTTCAATAATTTTAATTAAGAATACTTTAGCATCTAAAGCATATTAAATAGATTATTCCATAGTATCTGAAATCATAGATAACATAATATGAATTCTCATTAATCTTTCATAATGAGCACAATTTAATCTATTTGGATTTGCATCCTCTTCTCTTGGTTTGAAAATTTTAGATTTTTATTTATTACTTTTAACTGTTGCTGTTCTAACATTAGCAGCTCTAGAAAATCTTTAATTACCTGATTTTTAACCAGATATTTATGATTTTTATTCTTTACTTTTATTTTATTTAACAGTATTTTTATTAGTTTTTTTAGTCATTTTAGATTTTTATTTAGATTATTTAGAAACAGTAGATTTTTTACCTCTTGTACTTCTACTAAAGATAGTTGATGAATTTTATTCTTCATCACCTTCTTCTTCTTCTTCTTCATCATCTTCCATTTCAATTTCAATTAAAGTATCTGCTGCTTATAATAGATTTTCAATAACTAATTATTTTTCATTTCCATTTCTTAATAACCATTCTGAAAATTCAATTAAAACTTCAACTATTTCAACAGATGAATCTTTCTTCAATAATTCAATTGCTTTATTAAAAGCAGTATATTATTTATAAAGATTATTTGATACTCTTGCTAATCTAATCCAAACCTTAGCTTATAACGATGAATCTGCTTCTTTCATATTAACAATTGCTTATAATTCATTTTTACCTTATTTACTCATAAATATCATTTTAGCTTCCCAAATTGGTTTTGACATATTTTTAGGAATTAATTCAAATACCATATCTGCTGCCATTTCTCCTAATTTATAATCTTCATTTTCTAGAGCACTTTTAAATAATAATTAAGCTAAAAGCAATACTAAATCAGGTTCACTTTTTTCTTTGCATTCTTTTAAATAACTTAAACATTGATTAACTGGTTAAATGAGATGTTTTCTATTTTATGCACTTTCTTCTAATTTCGCACATAAATTCCAAACTTATTTAGATGCATCCAATACTAAACTATTAATACCAGCTTTGACTCCTTTATTTGCAGCTTCAATAGCATGTTATAAACTTGAAAACAATAAAGATTCTTAAGATTCAGTTTCTTAAGTTTCTGAATTAAGCATTCTTAATAGATTTTCACTATATATATATTCAGCTAAAGAATACCATCTCAAACGAGTTGTTGGAATAGTTGATAAATCTGATGTTAACATTTATAAAGAATATTGAACACATCTAAGTGAATATTTATACATTTAAATAGTTTCTTCATTTAATGCTAATCTTGCTAATCTAGCCCATAATTCTGCATGCAATTCAAGTTCAGTTTCATCATTATCTTTTGCTGTCCAACTACTTAATGTTTCAAAACATTTCTTAATTAAATCTTATGTTTATGTTTTATTAGTTGAATTTTAAATTATTTCTAATTAAGAAACAACATCAAATATAACACTATCAGATTATGATTATTATGTTTATTTTGTACCTTTCTTATCTTATTATGTTCCACCACCTTTACTAGCACTTGTTTTTGCTGTTCCTGAAACTCTTGCTTTCATAGAATTTATTAATTTACGAGTATGAGGTGATAGAGGAGTTAAAAGAAGAGCTTCACATACTCTCATTACTTCATCAAATTAAGACTTACCTTCCATTAATCTAGCATATACTAAACCTATATTTGCTAAAACAGATATCTTTGTATCAATTTCATAATCATTTGTTTATTTTTTCTCTATTTCTTTCAAAGAATTTTTCATTATTTCAAAAAACTCTTTTAATAAATTTGTTATCTCAGGTAACAATTTACTATCATTAATAGGATTTCGAAATATTGTTAAAAAATTATTCCATATATATATTCCTCCATTAAATACTAACCAAGTTTATTTGATAGATTCTGCTAATTTCAATCCTTTTACAAAATTTGTACACATTTATCTTTTTTATTATAATATTTAATCTTTCTTTTCTTAACTTATTTCTTCAATGTTTTCAACCTCTTCCATTCTTATAGGATCAGCAAAGGGTATTTCAAAATTATCTTTTATTAAATTATCTATTATCATTTATGCCATTCTATATTAACATTCCACTTAAGCAAGTATCATTTCTGATGAATTCTTTACATCCCATGTATCATTACAAACAAACTCACATGCTTTAAATGCTAAATCATTAAATTCCCATTCAAATGCCAATCTAGCTATCTCTGCTGCTAATAATTTCTTTTACTTATATTAATATAGATTCTCTTATTTCTTAAGTATTTTCCCTTTATTTTGTTCTTCTTCCACTAAATCTAATTTAGTGTCATACCAATATTCTTATTCTTACAAATTTACAATAGACCCTAAACATTTTTATAAGATGTCAATTTTTAAATTCTCTGATTTAGCTGCTTGAACATTCTCTAATTAAGTAATGACCCTTTCTATATCATTTCTTGGTTCTTGATAAATATTCAATTTCAATCTAATCTTTTCTTCAAGATTTCTTAAGTATTTATCATAAGGTCTCTAATATAAACTTAAATCTTCTCCATCATCATATTTAAATTGTACTTTCCCTAATGGTACACTATAATCCAATTATAAAGCTTTTTTAATATGTTATTCTGCTTTAACTGCTAAATCCTCTTATAAATCACTCTTTGCTAATTCAATATGGAAATTCACTCGTAATGCATGATCTACACATTATAATTATTCTAAGAGTTGACAAGCCATTGAGAAGGCCTTATATACATGAATTCTATATTGAGAATTCAAAAATGGTAAAGAAATATTCCAAATAAGAACTGCTCCTTCAAAGATGAGATCAGGGTCATTTAATTTTTTATTTGTCACCATAATTTTTTCCATAGTTTTAAGTGCTTCAATTCTTCTTTCAACTTCTTACATTTTAATCTAAAAAGAATTCAATCTCATTCCTGTTTTATTATCTATGAGTGGACCTGCTTTTTTGATAAATAATTCTGCTTTATTATATTCATGTAAAATGTAGGCTTTTTAGTGAAGCTATCTAACTTTACTCAAAAATGTAGTGATTGAATCAGCTATATTTATTAGATTATATTATAATGCTACTCTTCCCGATTCAGCTAATCTTTCTTATAATACTGGCGCTAGTTTATTAGTAGCTGCTACCTCATTTCCCGGTAATACAGCACTTGAAATTGAATTAATTACATTTATTAATTCTTTTTCTATCTAAGCTTCTGGAATCAAACCACTTCTCATTTTCTGAAGCATTAATAATGATTTCCAAGCCTTTTCCGCAGGTGCAGTTTCTGATTCTTTAGATGCTGAATCCAATGCCTATTTATATTCTTTACCAATATGAATTCTTAATCTTAATAAAGAATTTTGAAAATCACAATCTCCTTTCTTTTTTGTTGTTTCCCATAAACGATCTAATAATTTAAATGAATCTGCTTTTCTATCATCATATAAACAATAAAACAATAACCATGTAAATCTACATCTCCAATCATAATCTGCCTCATCTACTTCATCAAACAATTTATCTATTTTATCTAAAATATCAACAAATGATAATTGCCATTATGGTTTAAGCATAGGTCTAATAATATTATATACACAAATTGATGCATTATATATTAGAAATCCATACTTTTATTTATTTTCTGGTTTCTAAATTATATCTAAGCCTTATTGAACAAATGTTAAAGATAATTTCAAATTTTTAATCATGTCCTCTGCTTTCAATAGTCTATCATGACCATTTATTGAAATAAGTCGAGCCTTAACAAATAAAGCTCTAATATAAAACTGTCCTTAAGAAGTGTTTCGTTAAAAGTATAGATCAATGTATTATTGAGCTATGCTTGCTTTATCTGGTACAAATAGACAAGCTTCACAAAACTTTACTATTACTTCCTAAGAAATATCTAGAAAAGATGATCTGTTTAATTTACATATTTTGAATACCTTATATTTTTCTTAAGTATTTAATTAATCTTATCTATACAATCTTGTCCCTAACTCAAAAATGTTTCATTATCATCTTTATGATCAATAAAAAACCGAGCTTCCGTAATTAAGTTATCAATTATGTATTCCTCGTTACTCATTTTAATTAAATATTAATAATATAAATAGTGCATTAATTTAATTGAGATATTTAACTTGTTTATTTTTAAAGGAACTTCTTGAGTTATATAAATATATATATATAGTTATTATCAAATGAATTAATAAATCAATATATATGTATATTATCAAATGAATTAATAAATAATGTAAAATAATCCGAAAGCAATTACATATATAATAAATCAAGAATAGAGGTTTTTTTTTACTTCTCTCATTTTAATGATGTCCTGAACATTAATTTATGGTTTAGGAAGAGAAGGATCTTTTTATTTTTTCATTGACGAATTTTATGATTTACTAAATTAAATATATAATATATACTTGGAAAAAGTATAAAAGTTATTTAACTAACGAGGTTATTCATCTTCATCATAATTTTATGAATTATTTAAAGATTTTTTGGATTAATTAGTGTGCATTGGAGATTCTTTTCTAGAATGTACAATATTTTGAATATTGTTAAAAGCATGACTAGATTACGATTATTCTCCAGCAAGGATCTTTTAAAGACTAATTAGATCTTTAGCAACACTTTACAATTTTAAACCATCATTAGGTTAAGATAATGCATCAATAATATTATCAACAGAAGCTAGAATAATAATAAGATATACATTTGACATAATCCATTAAATTAGAGTTCTCATGATTTATTAATAAATTATTTAATCTTTATATTTCTTAATCTTATTCTTGATTAATTAAAGTTAATTATTCAATCTGAGATTCATAATCTTACAAATTCTCTTTTGTGATATTATATGTTTCTTAACCATCTTAAGTGACACAATCTTTAACTTTACTTTGTCTAATTGATTGTATTTATTGAACATTAGGTAGATTACCTCCCATATTGTTAACATATTCTTCTAATTATTATACTCTTGATATTTTTTAATCTAGCATAGTCTCAGTTTCTCTATGAATTCTATCATAAGCATCAAGTTCATCTTATAATTAAACTATAGTTTCATCTCTTTCATTCAATCTAGTTGTTAGAGCAATCATTATATCTCTTTGTTTAAGTGTTAATTGTTTATATCTATCAACTTAAACCTTATCTTCCTCTAATTATGATCTTTCCTTTTCTAATTCTGTTATTTTTTTTTCATATTATGCTCGAATTATTTTTTATTATTCTTCTATAGCGTTTCTAAATTATGGACTATTTTCAATATTACATCCTCCAATCAACATTTAACTATTTATTTATCTTATTTTTTCTTCAAGTTTTTTCTTTTCTTCTCTTTCAATAAAAAATTATTTGCTTCTAGCTTCTAATGCAGCCATTGCAGCATTTTTATCTTATTCAGCTCTCTTTTTATCTTCTTCTAATTAACTTAATTTAGTAGAATCTATAATAGTTTTATTCTTTTCTTAAAGTTCCTTTCTTAATCTTTATAATTCACATTCATATTTTCTTAAAAGTGCCTTCTAATCTACATCTTCATTAATAGTAGCTTTATTCTTAATATTTTTTGCTCTATTAGCAAATTTTACAGAACTTAAAGTTTCAAGAAATGCATCAATAGCAGGTGATATCATACCCATCATAGTTGTTTTACAATTACCACCTAACGAATCTTCTAAAAGACGAGTTATTTTTGAATCTCGATAAGGAATGTGAGTTTTTTATTCAATTAATGCAGATATGACATTACCTAAACAACTTAAAGATTAATTAATTTTTTTAGATTCTTCTAATCTTCTACCAGTTGCACCAGTAACTCTTACTCTTTCACTTCCTGCCAAATCTACTAAATTAAGTTTTCCAACTTTAATTGATTTATGATTATCAATTTCAGTCATTTATTCAACGATTATAATAAAGACAGCATGAGATCTACTGCTTACATCATTCATTTTAGTACTAGCAGTAGCTCTTGATTAAGCACCTTTTTAGATTAATGAATAAATTTCTGATGGATTTCTTACAGCCCATTCAGATAGACCTTCAACAAATACTCCTCTTTTTTTGTCTTCTCTAATATGCAAATTTTATCTATCACTTCTTAATAAATCACTAATAACTTCATTATAAATTTATAGATAACTAACTCTAACCATAAATGTAGTTGATTCATTAGATCCATTAGAAATATGTTTAAATATTTCTTCAATAGCTCTTGGTATGATACCTCTTTATGGATCTACGCAATTATATTTAAATCCCTCCATTGTAAATGTTTTACCAGTGCCTGTTTAACCATATGCCATAATAGTTGCATTAAATCCTTAGAGTGCAGACAGTACTGCATGTCTTGCTGTATTATCATATACTTCTTCTTATGTGTTATCTTAATCATAAACAAAATCAAATGAAAATGTATGCATAGTATAACTATTTGGATTATTGAGATATTCTTCAAGATGTTCTGGATCTACTAAATCAATATTATAATATTCATATAGACAGATTTTCTTATGATCAGGTGATACTTAAACAGTTGAAATAAAACGTCCATCTATAACCTCTCTTTGTAATGGAGGTCTAACACGGACAACAACTTTAAAATTATCATTAGATGTTAATTGCTTTGCTGAATATGATGACATTGGACTAGATTCATAAAAGTTAGTTTAAGATGTTGTTTAACTTAATGATGATGTTGACATCTTTGGAAAAGAGGTATTCATGATCGTTAAAATTTAAAATATATTAATTAATAATAATAAATATATATAAATGAATTTCTTTCATCCACTTCTACAAACTCTTTAATGTAAGAATCATCATTCTATTCATTTAGTTATGCGTTTCAATTTTAGTGCTGATCGTTAACAAACTACTCTTAATCTCCTCAATCCACCTATCAAAGTTGAAGAGAACGACTCACTTCTCCCTCCTATCTATTAAATGACGTAATAAGAACTACTACAACGATAGATTGTTGATTCTGTACAAAATGGATTATAAATCTAAACTCATAATAAAGATTAAGACCCTCCTAAAACTATAAATAAGAAAATGTATGTTGTTTAAATATCTCTTAGAAGTAAAAAAACTAATACTTGTGGACATCCAGACAAAGAACATTATGCTAAAGGCATGTGCAATAATTGTTATCATCGACTAGGTAGAAATAAACAACCTTGGCTATGTTCACATAAAAAATTATATGCATGTAAATATTCACATCTCTATTAACTAGGTGGACTCTGTTAAAATTGCTACATCAATCAATATAACAAAAAAAGAAGAGTAGAAAACCATGATTAATAAGATTCAGAACCCAATAATCACTCTAGTATACCAAAAATTGATAATTGATTCTTCATTTTTTTATCTAATTTGTTATTTTTTCATATCTTTTCATCAAATTTTTTAGCATTTTTATCAATATATAATATTCTTATACAAATTAATATTAATTGAAGAATATTATTATATTTACTTTCTTATTTATTATTTATTCTATACTCTCCACAATTCATTCAATGTATTTCACAAATTAAATTTCGATATTTATGCTCATTTTTTTTAGAAACTAAAATATTCTTAAAAAACTATTTTTATTTATATATATACTTTATTCCTTAATTTATCAATTAACATCATTATTTGCATTTTTCCTTATAATATTTAACCATTAAGTTTTATTTAATCATTTGATTGTTATTTTAGGTTTTGATACTTGATGTTTAATAGAGTATTACAATAATAGGTAATAAAGTTTTATTCTTTTTAACGAATATAAATATTTAAAATAAAAAGATCAATACTTTATGTCAAGCAAAAAGAGCATTAAACCAAAAGAGAATGTATCCATAGATAGCAGATTAAACACTTTGGAATGTAGTATCCTTTTTTAATTTAAGCTAATTTGAATAGAGTTTGTATATAACATGATGCTTTGATGCCAATAGTAAATGAAATCCCTCATGTGTAAAGATTGGAATAATAAATAAAAATACTCTTAAAAAAACAAGAAGAACTTGAAAAGGTTAGAGATAAATCAAGAGAAACCTCAACCAATACAAGCTTTAGTGATTTCAAAAGTAATAACTAAAATAAACCATATGAAAAACAGTTGAATGATTTAACATTAAAAATGAATTACTTGGATAATCAATTGCAAGAATTGTAAAAAAAGAGTCAAGGAAGAGTGGAATAATAATTCAGAATGTTTTCCGATACTCAAGATATTTAGAAATTAGAATTATTTGTTACAGAGGAATTAAATAATTTTAGAAGTGAAGTTCAATTAGAATATAAAAATATATACAAAGTATTCATTTATAAACTAATATTAGGAACTTAATGGATTAAGATGTGATCTTGAATATATAATGAATAATACTAAGAAAAATAAAGTTACTCAAAAGATTTAGACTATGAATGTTAGTCCAGATGATAAACTCTTTGTCATTAATTTATTGGAATAAGAAACTATCATAGAAGAATTAGATCATTATGAAAATGAGAATACTTTCAGATTATTATATGAATTAGATTATTTTGAATAATAAAAAGAATCTATATCGACCATGGATCCATAATAAACTCAAAGAGAAAGTTTGTATCTAGAAGAAAAATTAATTTCTTTAAAATATTAATTAGCTGCTTCCAAAAGAAAGTACTTGTTTGAAATTAAAAAAATTGAACATAAATTTTAAGTGATTAATGAAATTATAGATTAGAATCAGAAATATCTCAACTATTAATAACAGATTCACATTTTAATGTAAAGAATGAGTAAAATTGTAACAAGAGTTCATCAAAATATAGAATGTATCTTTTAGAAGATTAATTCTTTAGATAAGAAATGATANATTACAATAATAGGTAATAAAGTTTTATTCTTTTTAACGAATATAAATATTTAAAATAAAAAGATCAATACTTTATGTCAAGCAAAAAGAGCATTAAACCAAAAGAGAATGTATCCATAGATAGCAGATTAAACACTTTGGAATGTAGTATCCTTTTTTAATTTAAGCTAATTTGAATAGAGTTTGTATATAACATGATGCTTTGATGCCAATAGTAAATGAAATCCCTCATGTGTAAAGATTGGAATAATAAATAAAAATACTCTTAAAAAAACAAGAAGAACTTGAAAAGGTTAGAGATAAATCAAGAGAAACCTCAACCAATACAAGCTTTAGTGATTTCAAAAGTAATAACTAAAATAAACCATATGAAAAACAGTTGAATGATTTAACATTAAAAATGAATTACTTGGATAATCAATTGCAAGAATTGTAAAAAAAGAGTCAAGGAAGAGTGGAATAATAATTCAGAATGTTTTCCGATACTCAAGATATTTAGAAATTAGAATTATTTGTTACAGAGGAATTAAATAATTTTAGAAGTGAAGTTCAATTAGAATATAAAAATATATACAAAGTATTCATTTATAAACTAATATTAGGAACTTAATGGATTAAGATGTGATCTTGAATATATAATGAATAATACTAAGAAAAATAAAGTTACTCAAAAGATTTAGACTATGAATGTTAGTCCAGATGATAAACTCTTTGTCATTAATTTATTGGAATAAGAAACTATCATAGAAGAATTAGATCATTATGAAAATGAGAATACTTTCAGATTATTATATGAATTAGATTATTTTGAATAATAAAAAGAATCTATATCGACCATGGATCCATAATAAACTCAAAGAGAAAGTTTGTATCTAGAAGAAAAATTAATTTCTTTAAAATATTAATTAGCTGCTTCCAAAAGAAAGTACTTGTTTGAAATTAAAAAAATTGAACATAAATTTTAAGTGATTAATGAAATTATAGATTAGAATCAGAAATATCTCAACTATTAATAACAGATTCACATTTTAATGTAAAGAATGAGTAAAATTGTAACAAGAGTTCATCAAAATATAGAATGTATCTTTTAGAAGATTAATTCTTTAGATAAGAAATGATAGTTAATATATTAAAATCAATATCATATTAATGAATTAATAAGTTCATTTAAAACATTAAATTCATTTTCAATGTTTTTGACTCTATTATTTTGCTATTCTAAATGTTCAAGAAGTTTTTAATTATCATCATTTGAGTTATCTCTTAACTACTATTCTAACTCATTAATTATGCGATCTCTTTCTTCTATTTATTTTTCTGAATACAATTTATACTAAAGCATCTTTTTATTATTAATATCTAATTCAATCTAAACAGCCTTTAATTATTATTTTAATTCTTAATCTACTATTGTTTGAATGTCTTATTCTTAAAAAGCTTCTGAACCTTTATGTTCCATAGACTTTTACAAAGTCTCAATAAGTTATTATTATCCACCTACTAATTCAAGTAGCTAATTTAATGAATTTATAATAGGCATTTCAATTCTTAATTAATTGAACTGCATTGATTATTAGTAATATTATGAATTCTAAATTATTTTTATTCTATAAATAGCTATAATAACCCATGAAGCTTTCTTAAAAGCTCGACAATTTTTTTTATCAGCATATTCAAATTATAAATCATTAATCTAAAAATTCAATATCTTTAGATGATATTATTGTTTTAAAAATTCTTCCAAAAATTAAGTAAGCATCAAAATTACTTAATTTTATTTATAATCATATTAATTTCCTTTCTAGAAAGTTTTATTTTTATCTTATTTTCTTTCTTTTTAATAAAACCTTATTTTAAAATAATTAATACTCTTTTAATTCTAAAATTCTTTATTCAAACAGTATCTTAGTTCTATCATTAATCAAATTAGGATTTTAATGACTAGAATTAGATTTATTTTATAAAATTTATGACTGTAATTAACTTTGTTAAAAATTTTATTATAAGTCCTAATTGTTTATAAAAAATATCATACTTTAATTTGATTTTTAAGTATTGATTTCTTTTATTATAATTAATAGATTTTTTCAGCCATTCTATTAAAGATTTCTGCAAATTCGATTACTTATTGCATTTAAAAAGATTATGGATTTGTAAGACTTGTATTTTTAATTTAATTAAGTAGAGTGTTAAGATCTTTTTATAAGATGTTGAAATTTTCTAATTATTCTTAGACTGTCTAAGCTTCCTTTTAATCAAGTATTGTATGATTAGCTAATAATTATTCTTCATGTTAACTTTCATTTTAATCAGCAAGATGATTTTTAAAGTTCTAAACAATTGTCTCATATTTCATTTATTAATCTTCATTTTATTCTTTAAGAATCAAAATTTATTATTAACACTATTCATAAATTTATTATTTTTCATAATTAGCTTATTCTAGGTCTTATTCTAGTTATTATATTTATTCTAAGAATTCAGAATTTTTATTGGTAAGTTCTTTTATCTTGATTTTTCTTTATTTTGATCTTTCTCTACATTTATTTGCATATTAAATCAACTGTTCTTTTTCAGATTATAATTTATTATAATTATCTAATTAAGATCTAACTTTGTCTTCATATTCTTTTTTACCTTTTTCAGATTGTAGAATTTTATCTTGTTGAATTTAATATTCATTGAGTAATGCTTAGTATTGTAATTTTAATTAAGTATTTTATTAAGTGAGCTATGAAGATGTAGAAATTAATTATTAGATACGTTTTTCCAAGGAAGATTACTAGAATGTATTTTGCAAGTAAATTTACTTTGATTTAGAATTCCCTTTCATAAAATTGTAATTTGCCTTCTAAGATTTGTACTTGTGATTTCAAATTGATAATTTCACTATCAAATTACTCTCCAATTCTATTGAATTCATTAAGTGAAGCAGAACTTTTGGTATGATCAATTTATTTGTAAGTAGATTATGGATTTTTTGGAGTGATCATATTAACTTGATTAAGACGCTTTTCGAATTTATCCATAAAAATAAATAAATTATAGAAATGAATATAAATGATAATTTCGAATTGCAGCTTCTACATTCAACAATGACATGAGTATATTTAAACTTTTAAATTCAATTTAATTAGTATCTCTACATTATTCATATTCTACATAATTATATTTGACAATGATAGAATCAAAACAATATTTGAATTAAGATTTGAGTGATATATCATATTCTTGTCGCTTATTGATAAATAAATTCAGGTTTACCATTTTTATCAGTATAGTAAAATCAAATTTTATTAAGAAATGCTTTATGAGTGATGTAATTATTAGTACAATTATAATCGATTCCTAATAATAGATAATAATTCATTTAATATTAAATTATTTCAGGAATCATTATCAATATCATCATTATCCTTATTCTCTTCTAATTGTACTGGAACTTCTTCCTTGGGAGGTTCTGCCTTTCTTATAATAGTCATATCTCCAACATTTCTAATCTAAAGATTTGTATTATAATATAAATATATACCCTAATTAATTATTTTACTCTAAGTAACGGATTACCCCTGGCTTTCAATTCGAATCCCCAAGTACAACTTTTCACTAATCTTGATGCAACATTATTGAGATGATTAATCAATTGTTATTCAACTGTTTCAAATGAATCATTCATATCCAATATTATAGGTTCTATAATAATTGAATTAAATTAAGATTTATTATAATCTGATGGTTCTTCAAGAGGTCTAGAAGATGGAAGAGCAGAATCAGTAACATTAGGTTCTGTAGGCATTTTTTTGGATTATGGTATTTTTGATTTAGTAATAACTATTAAATAATAAGAAATTATAGTACTCATTTATAATTCAGGGACACTTAATACAGCATCCTTTTCTTTCTCTTTTTCTTAAATTACAGATAAGATATCTCTATCTCTTTCTAATGTAAATTCGTGCATCTCTAGTAAAAATTAAGAAAGTTTCTCATAAAATGGTTCAATTTCTTAATTCAGCATACCTTTTGTAGCATATTGAGTATTTTCTATATACCAACCACCAAATTATTTAAACCGTTTAATTAAAGTAAAACAACTCATAAATACTGTTTAAGGGGCTTCAGCAAATTCTGGATCTTCTACTTATTTTACTAATTCTTCTAATTTAAATGCCTTATTTACATTGGTTTGAGCAAATGGAATACAATATTATGCATCATACAAACCAAATCTTGCATTCTATACCCATTCTAAAGCCTTTATATTATTTTATAAATTAGGTAATAACAATCCAAATACTATTGCTATTATTTCAGAATCTATCTCTTATAATCTTAATAATAGAATCTCATCATCTGTTTATTTAATTGGTAATCTAAATTGTTTCCATTTAAATATTTTACCATAATTCTTTGATTCTTTATTCACTATTTCATATGTTCCATCTTTTCTTAGGACAAAAGCAATTATTTATAATCTTTTATCACTACTTAAATAATATTAATCATGAGCCATTGAAAATCCTAATCTATTAAAATTATTAACTGATGCTCCAAAGTATCCTTCCTATAAATCAGGATATTCACCTCTCTTTTAATTTGCAAAATCTTCCTCATTTATTTCATTACTCTCAAGCTTCTATTCTAATTCTCCAACTCTCTAATCATATGTCTTTTTCCATTCATCAAATTAACCATCTAAGAATTTACCCAATGTCATTGAAATAACACTCTATAATGGAACTAAGTCCTAATAAAATATTCTAATTGCTCTCTTATTTGAATAATTAATCATTCTCATACTCTATCTCTATTTCTTCTTCTATATTTATTAATCAAATGGTTTTCTAACTTTAGGAATTTCCTCAAAATTTTTAACATTAAAAGCTGTCTTCATTTAATTATTTAAATCTACAAGTCTCATTACTTCCTCTTAAGTCTTCCCTACTAAATAATCCATAAATTTAGATTATAATTCATTCATAAACTCATTTGGATAAAACCCACTTGTAATCACTTATTACATCATCTATCCTTATAATGGTTTTAAATATTCTTTTGCTATTGCATGTGCTTAAGCCTTTAAAATCACTTTCTACATTATCTTTTATTTCTCTGAATACTTTTTTAACACATCATTCTTTTAATCTATCAACTATTTCTCTCTTTCTACTGTTACACGTTACTTATTCTTTTCATTAGCTCTTCGTTTCTCAAATGCTTCCTTAAATCTATACATTGCCATAAACTCTTCTTCTTATTCTATCTCTAAACATGCTTATTCTAAAGTCTTTGTGCATATAACATTCAAAATTGGAGTCACTTCTCTATCAAAATCAAATAATTCATAGTCTTCTACTTATGTGGCAGCATCAATTCCCGTTTTTTTAGGAATGAAAGGAGGATCTTCTGGTTTCTTAAGTAATTTATCAGTTTAAGTATATAAAGTATTCTTTTATTATTCACATTAAGCTAGAGTATCTGTTAAAAAGAATTCCAAATTTACCTATATTCTTGGATTTGCTGTAGCTTTGATATCATAAGTATCTATTATTTAATATAAGTATTTTTACCTTCTTTTTTTATTTTTCTTTTAAAATTATTTAATTAAGCTGACATATTCTCTACTTTAATACGTTCTTTTTCTAAACGTATATATTCTTATTCCTATTCCATTGGAGTTCGTTGCTTAATCTTCTAAAATTTAAATTCATACATACGTGATCCTTCATCAAATTTTAAAATGTTTACATTGGCTTTGATATTTAATTTTATTCATTTATTCTATATTTTCCTCTACTTGGCACTACTCTTGGTTCAGCTGAAAAGTTTTGTTATGTTGGTTATATCTACTAACTTAAAAAAGTAATTAATTAAGGTAATCCACCACCATCTAAAGCAGATATTGACAAGATTGGAACTTCACCTACCCCTAAAAAGTTTCTCAATTCTCCTTCTTCAATAGTTTGAATGTCTGCTTTAGTTTGTAATATAATTAATTATTCCTTTCCATTTATTTACTCTAATGCTGCCTTATTATGATGCAACTGTTGTATGTTACTTCCATCTAAACAGAAGATCATCACATCTGAATTTGGCATATCTTCATTGACTTCTAAAGGTAAATTATTTATTTAATGCTAATCATTCAAAACTTTAGCTAATGTGGTTTTTCCACTACCCTCTAGACCAACTAGTGAAATTTTATATGACATTAATTAATAAATATTTTTTTAGAAATATCATTGTTACTCTAATTCAGTCATTTAAATCTTATGTAATATCATGAATTATTTAGAATCACAGTTCAGATTAATCTAATGTTTCTCAATTTATTTGGCAAGTTCACCATAATAATTTAGATTGTTCAATATATTTTTCGAATTTAAACAATTCTTGATCATTTAACTTCAAATGATTCAAAGTTACTTTTAAATTTGGAACCACTTATAACAATCTTATTTTAACAGTTACTTAATCATGATTCTATTTATTATTCATATTTTCAAATCAATTTTTTTAATGTTAAATTAAATCATCTTTAACATATATTTAGTTTGATCTTTCTAATCCACAAATTAACTATAAAAATATTAACTCTATTTTTAATTAATATTGTATGTAATACTACAATTCCTTTTATAAAAACTAAAATCAAAATATAATTATAAATGCATGAATATTAAATATTTAAATTAATCTGGTAGGCTACTCTAGTTGTTCATAATATTCCTTTATTTTCATATACTCCTTTATATTTATTTTAGAACTAGAGATAACATGTTTATTTATTAATATATTTTTAATTGAATTCTGAAAGAAACATAAGAATTTATTTATTAATAAATATTCCTAATATTTATAATCTGAATTATGTAAAATGTCTTTATTAATAGATTTAATAGTGTAATTTTACTGTATCCCTTTGATTACTTCTGGCATGTCACAAATTTCATTTTATTATTCTTATTGATAATATAAAGGGCAAATTTATGACATTATTCTGAATATCACTATAAAATTATTAATAGTGAAACTTTAAGAAAACCTTAAAAAACAAATATGATTATAAAAAATACTTTAATAAAATATATAATTGTCAATTCTAAATATCATAATTAATTATCAAACAATCTAAAATTTTTTATTGTAAGAGTTAATTTTAAATGATTAATATTTCTAGAAATGATTAAAGATAATTATATTGTCACCATTCTTAATATATATACTGAAAAGCTAGAATTATAGTATAATTTATTTATATTATTTCTTATTTGATGTTGAAAATGAATGAAAAAGAATCTTGTTTTTAAGATTCAGTATTTTGTTTTTTAGGAGAATTCTAGGCAAGAAAAATCAATATATAATTTAAATATGTTTTTTAATAATATTCAAAAATATCCTCCCTTAAGTTTAAGTCTAACATGAAGAGCACAATTATTTTTAAAACCCATTTAATGTAACGTTCTTTACTCTTCTTTTTTAATCATACTGCCATTATCTAGTTGGAATTCTATTGATTCTTCATAATTTGATTCCATCTTTTATTTAAAAATTTGGTCTAACACATATTGTATAAATTATGAAAATGGACAATCTGGGTCAATATTAATATCAATTTTCATATCCTGTTACTACATCTGAATCAGAACATTTATTAAAATAGTTCTTGGTTGTACATTGTTTAAACTTTAAGCGTTTTGCATATTTTATACAAGCTCATTCATTGATTTTTAATAGAAATATAAATTAAAATTTAATTGATAAAAAATAATCTTGATTAACATAAAAAACTTAGAAACTTTATTAGAAAAGATTTATTCAAATAACAATAGTGAATAAGAGATAAAATATTTTTTATAAAATTCTATTTAGAATCTTGATATATGAGTAGATAAATTTAATTAAATTTACATAATAAATATCTTATAATTTGTTTTTTAATAAATATTGATTTATTTTAAAAATCATATTTCTTCATATGAAATAACTTAAATTTAAGATTCATTTTTTAAATTGATTTTCTAATAATTATCTTTCAATTTAATTGCTTTATTATTATTTAATAATAAAAATTCTTAATCTAGAATATTTGTAAATTTTTATTTCAGAGCATCTATTTTGATTTAATAATATAGGTCATTAAGATTTTCTATTTTATGATTCTCAATTTTTAAATCAAAATTATTGATTTTAATATTAACAAATTCTTTAATTCCTTCTTTAGCAAATTATTAAAATTTTTACATAGATAATTATGCAGAATCTAATTATGATAATAATTATTTGTATTGTAATTCATTAGAATTTGAATGTCCTTCTTAAAATAATCCTTAATTAAAAATATAATTAACTGATTCAATCATCTTGCTCAAGCCTCCAGTTGAAAGCTATTCGAAGACTTTTATATGATTACTCCTTATTTCTTAAAGATATTATTTATAATTATTAAATGCAGAAGTTAACTGATTTTCAATTTCTTATAATTACTAAGTAATGTTTGATTTTAAAATTTTGAAGTTTGCAAATGTTCTACATTAAAAACTTCCAATAAATGTTTCATTCTTGTCTAAGATTTTGTCTTTTTACTAGATTAAATATAAAACTTCTGGAATATCATATAAAGTATGGCCTTTATGGTTCCTTGCACAATCTTAACATAGTAATAAATCATTAAGTTCTTTACATTCCTTCTCAGCACAAATCTTATCTATTCGTTTATTATTATGTTGTTAACAAAACCTTCCTTCTATTTCAAATTCAGGAATAGTAGTTTTATTATTTTAAATTATGAATAGATTAGAATTAATCTTATATTATGAAAATAAATACCAATTATTTATTCTTGAATTTGTCTTTTTTTAAATTTTCATCAAAGGGTTTAATTTCAAATTAATTATCTTTTGCTCCAATAATTATCATATTGTGAGTATTTGAACTAATTTCCATATCCTTTAATTAAGAATTGGAAATAATTCTTGAAAACTCTAAAGATTATGATACATCATAAGAGTTTTATGTTTCTAAGACTGATTAATTAGGATTTGATGAGGGTTAAGTTTATTATTAATAAGGAATTGAATTGTTAGATTACTATAAAATAAGATTTTCGATACCTTATATCCAGACTCATATTTTTATTCATAATATGAATATGGACCAATAATTGAACTTTATGTTTATTATTAATTAATATATGAATTTTATGGAGCGTTGTAAGTATCAAAAGGTGAATAAGTTTATTAATTATTATGAGTTTAATTAGCAGGAGGAGGCATTGGAGTATAAATATTTCCAGAAGCTGGTGGTTGAGGTACTTAAGATGGCTAAATTATAGAGCTATATCCTGAAGGAGTTGATTGAAATGTTGGCTACTTATTTTATAATTTATTACATAATTATTATGATGAGTTCCTTGTTATGAGTTTAAGCCTTTTGCAAATTAAGGTCTTTAATTCATTATTATTTTTTATCTTATTTAATTTTTAAAATCATTTTATATTAATTCAGATATAAACTATTGGATATTAATGAAAATTGAATATTTAATTATATTTGTCATACAAGCATTCTATCATATATAATATCTTAAATAAGTATTACAAATAATAGATCAATAATTATATCTATAAACTTTTAATTTAAATAATTAAAATGAAACAAATTGAACTTTTTGAATATTATCGAATTAAACCTATACTAGGTCTTTATTATTTATTAAATTTTTATTTTATAGTTATACATCATCCTATTTTAATGTTAAGTTTGACTTAAACATAACATTAATTGTAAAATCCCAATTAATTTAAACTTCTTAATTCATTTCAATAAATATTGGCTTCACCTAATACATATTCTATATTTTCTTCGTATTATGTTTATTATATTTGGATTCTTTAAGCAAATATTTGTTCTATGACTCTTTTTTTAATCAATTTATACTTTAATAGTCATATCACTACCTTGCATTGATAACCCTTTCAACAATTAATTGGTTATACATTAATCAATTCATTTTTTAAATATTAAAACAATAATAAAAAATTATAGAAGCTTTATATCAAATTACAATTAATAAATAAATATATTTCTATCAATAGATGCTTAAGGATTTACAATATAAAATATTACAAACATAGAAAATACTAATACTAATTAATTTTTATAGATAATTAAATCAATTTTATACTATTTGAGATAGTTCCAAATTAAATGGTTCTTTTTAACTATTTAAAGAAAATTCATCATTTTCTTTATTTTTTTTTTTGAGTTTAACAAGTGTTTATACCTTATCAACTGCAGTTTCAAGAAGAGAATCAACATCATTTATTCTTTTAGTATCACAAAATGGATCAATAGATTTTATAATCCTATTTAATAATCTTTTATAAGTTTCATCTAAATTATATATTTTTTATTCTACCTTTCATTTTAAGTAATTAAGATTTTATTTATGCATCATCCATTTGCAACTTCATTTTTTAGATCTCTTCATTTCTTTCTTTTAATAATTTATTAATTTCACTCATTTTTGTATTATGTTCTAAAAATAAATTAAATATTATTATACCTTAATGCTTTTAATGATATTATTTAACTGTCTAAGCAAATTAATGTTCCTTTTCATTTTCATTCTTTTTTAACTATTTTATTTCCTCTTTCAAATTTTAATTTTATGTTAATAATTTTGTCAATTTGCTTTCATTTTCAATCATAGATTATTCTAAAAAATGAGAATTATCATTTAACTATTAATTAATATTATGTTTATCCGATTCCACTTGATGATACGATTATTCTAATTGTGTATATTAATGTTATAATAAAGATATCTATTAATTAAAAGTTTCATTTAATTTTTGTAATTCTAAATTTTCAAGTTCTTTTTATTTACTAACACAAATAGATTCACTCAATTAATTTTGAAGTCTTCTATTTTCTTATGTTAGACTTGAATGATTATTTTCCATTTGTTTATATTGCTATTCAAGTGATTTACTTTATTTTTATAATTAATTATTTGTACTTATTGTATTTTAAAGTTAAACTAAAAGATCTTCTTTTTATTTCATTATTGTTTCTGATTATAATCTAGATTCATCCAAATTACTATTCAAAATGATGACTTTTTATTAATATTATTATAATTCTTATTATGTTTAATTTAGAATTGATAATTATAATTGCTAATCATTTATTTATTACTCATATTATTAAATAATGAAATTAGACTAATTTAGTTTTTCTTCAAGTTATTTGAGTTTTTATTTATTTTATTATATAACTTCTTCTAAAGTTTACCTTTCTTTCTATTATTGTTCAAATTGAACATCATTTTATTAACAAACTTAATTTAAATTACTTAATTATTTTTTCTATTTTGAATTTGTTTCAAGTAAGTTTTTATTTAATTCTTCAAATTCATTTATTTGATCCTCAAGAATCTTTATCTTTTAATGTGACAAGATTTCTTTCTACATAATCTAAGATAGTTTTCCTTGCAAATCAGAGAATTCTTTTTACTTAGTAGTAATCTATTCTAACAGTTCGTTTTATTTTTAATTAAATTATTATACTTATTCATTTTATCTTGAACTAAACTATTAGAATGTTTATGCTTATTAATCACAATAAACTTTTAATTATTCCTCTTATACTAAAGTTAAATCTTTTAATCTTTTGAGTTCTATTTCATTAAGTTTTATTTAATCTTTCAAAGAAAGGATTTCTACATTCAAGATTTCATTCTCCTGTTTAAATTCATGATTCTTTTCAGATTAAATTTCCAATTATGAATCTTATTTTTTTAATTTAGATTTTAAAACATCCAGTTCTTCTTCTAATTTGTAAATTTAATTTAATTGCATAAAAATATCATCATCTTATTTTTTTTTAACTTTTTCTAATTAATTTTCTTCTTCTTTAATTTTAATATTTAATTCATTTATAATGGTTTTAGATTAATTTAACTAAGTTTATAATTCTTATATAATCTATTCATTTTTATTATTTTAAATTTCTAAAATATATTATTAACACTATTATGATAATGTAACAATTTATTTCTATTATTATTGAATTGTATCTACTTAAGAATTATTAATTTATTCTTATTCAACTTAACAATCTTCCAAATTTTTAATTTTAGATTGCAATTAGGATTCCTTTTATATAAATGAAGTTATTGTTCCTTATAATTCTTCGTTATCTTTTTCTATCTATGAAATTTATTATAAAAACTCATTTTATTTATTATTAAACTAGGATGTTAATTCATTTTATCTTAATGTAAATTGTAATAGATTTTAAGTTTGTTGATCACAATATTAATTCAATTGTTCTTCTTTAACTAAACATAAATCTTTTAATCTTTTGATTTCAATTTCATTTAATTTTATTTGTTCTTTATTTTAAAATAATAATGTGTTTAAAGATTCTATTTCAAATTTTTATTCTTAATTTTTTTCAATCAATAAACCTGTTTAAGATTCTTATTTCTTAAGTTTTAATTATAATGAATCAAACTCTTCTTGTAATTAATCAGTTTTGCTTAGGTGATTGTTAATTTCTTAATCTTTATGAGATTTTAATTATTCATAACTATTTTCTGCTTAAAAAATCTTCTAATTAAGTTAAGTGATAGTTTATTAGGAGGAACTGATTACATTTTATAATTCTTCAATTAACTAAATATTTTAACAATTTAATTCTTCTAGTTAATTTTTCAATGCTTAATTATCATTCTAAAAAACATTTAATTATTGATGTAATTGCAAGAATTCATCATCTTTTCGATTTAGAATGTCATTTAATTTTTTTAAACAAATTTTTCTATGTTTGCATTTTTCATTCAAATTGACAATCTCAGATTATAATTAATTAATTTAATCTTTGTATTAATTCAGATGTTCAATATTATCAAAAACCTTTTTATTAACAAGATCACTAACACTTTCATGATCATTTTTGAATTTTCTTAAATGATATTATAAATGTGGATCAATTAAGTTTTTTTCTCTAACAGTTTCAACAAAATCCCAACTGTTTTTGAGAAGTGATTTGATAGTTTGACTAAGTAATTAAGAATTTTTGGATGTAAAAGAAATTTCATCCTAAAGAAATGAGGATTTTATTTTTCTATCTGGAGATAATCTAATTTGAGCAGCATTTAGGGAAATATGTCTTTAGTCACATTCAGTTTATTAAAGTCTTGGGGAGAGCAAATATTTTGCAAAAAATGTTTCACTATCTATCATTTATATTTAAATTTATAACGACAACTTTTAATTTTATGCATTTTTCATTTTATATTAATGAGCAATCAATAGCTTTTTAAATCAAATGCTCATAAAAGATAATTAGTAATATAAAATATTAATCCAAAATTTGGATAAAAAAGCATATCATTTTGGTCTAACTTATTAAATCTTTGCACTTAACCATTCTAAACCTTAATCTAAACCAACTCCTGTTTTAGCACTTCCTCCAAAACATTAAGATGGATTTTTATATGATTTCAATTCAAAATAATCAATAAAAAATTATGGAGCTTATGCATCAGGAGAATCCTATTTATTTGCATACACTAAAATTGGAAGATCTTTATCCAATCCAGGAGTCTCCAATAACAATTTAAATTCATCAAGGGCTATTCCAAATCTGATTTTATCTGATGAGTCAATTACAAAAATTAGGCCATCAATCTATCTATATTAATCACAATACTTTTGTTGCATATTATTCCCACATTCCTCTATATTAATTTTATCCACTCATATCTGAGAATTAAAAATTCAGATTAAATTTTTCTACAGAATCCTTATTAAATCCAACTGTTGGAGCAACTGTTGCATTCTTTTCATTTTTCAAAGCATTTATGATACTGGTCTTTCCAGAGTTATCTAAACCAACTACTAGTACTTACACTTTCCTTTTTCCAAAAGCTCCTCCCATTATTAATACAGAAAATAATTATTATAACCAATTTAAATAGGCTGAAACATATTAAGATAATCAATTTATATAAATAATAATTTATTTTAATAACTATTCTTATAATATTACCATCTATCATCCCCAAAAGAGTACGACACTTGTATTAATCTAACTTTTAAAATTAAAATAATATTATTATAACAAATATCATTTCTTATTTGATTATGAGTGAAATCTACATTTTTAGTTACCTACAAATTAAATAGGTTACTATTATATTAATCTATCTCCTATTAACTTTCTGCTGAATTTATAAAAGTCAAATATAGGTTCTCCTTAATCATAACTTTATTTTCTTTTTTTTAAAATAATATCATTTAAAGTCTTGCATTTAGGTTAAGGATGCTAGATTAATATTAAAGAATTCTACTTGTAACAGTTGGAAATTTTTTTCTAAATTTTTTAAATCTTCGGTTTGTTCTCCCAATGTGAAGATAGTTTTTTTTGTTGTTGATCACTTTTTATGTCTGTGCTTAAATCTTGGAAGAACAACTATTTCTTTAATTTCTTATTTTATTGTAATAACAATTCTATCTCTATCTTTTATTTCTTTAATTGCTCTTCCAAATGATATGTAAAATTGATACTTTTTCTTGAATGATTGATTAATATTTTTAGTGATTTATTTTTAAATATTCGATTTCTTGATGAATTTATAATAGTTAAGGCTTGTAAAGTTCATCAAAAGGAAAATCCTCAGACACTGCTTATTTTGCAAATTCATTGTCATATAATTATAAATCAACAAAGTAGGAAAGCAATTTAGAGAACTTAAGAGATAACTTTAAATTTCTTGTCTTTAATTCTTCTATCTAAAACTTTAATTCTGACATATCCATATCACTTTGGTCTTTCTCAACAATTTGTTGAATTACATTATATTGTTTTGAGACATCAAATTAAGATGATTACTCAATTAATAAGGCTTAATGTCTTAATAGTAATTCTTAATCAACCATTATATCATATTTTTCATTATTTTTTTTTTCCAATGATAATAGTTTAATATTTTACTAAATGATATTTTTGTTTTCTTCTTAAATTTGCATAGCCAATTCCTCTTTGATAGATGACAGCTTTTTATCTAAAATATCTAATAGTTCAGTCTTTTATTTCATGAATTTATGTTCAAATTCAATTTTGATAGATTTTCTCAACCGATCTGTTTCCATAATTTTATAAATTATGATAATAAAAATTGTAGATTCTATTAATCATGTCTAAAAATTATATGAGTAATAGAAGAAGAAACTATGTATGGATAAGACAAATTTTTATACATTATTCGTACCAAAATTCCTTCATTTTGGAACTATTGTAGATGAAATTACAGCCTTGTCAATTTCAATAAAAAAAAACAAAAAATATAAATTAAGTTGATTAAAAAAAGTGATAGAATTTATAGAATAATTAATATATGTTTTAGGCTACAATGCTTTAAAGATTAAAAGCTTTATTTATTTTAAAATCTATTTGTACACTTTATCTTTGAAGAGATTTTCCATGTAATTTTAAATTTTCCAATTTAAAAGACGATTGATAGAACTATTATTGGCATGAAATTAATCAAGTGTTAATATAACCTTAGAAATTCTTATCAAAGCTTATTAAGATAATTTACCATGTGTTAGCAATTAAATAAATTTAATGATTCTTGAGTTATATTGCATATTTAAATAAAATAATTTATAAAATAACTTATTCATAAATATGCTGATAAAAAAAAAAATTATACACTACTTAAAAGTGCAAAAAGAATTACGCCATTACATAAAAGTAATTATTTGTTAGTTTCAATAATAAATACTCAGTTAAATATCAAACTGTTGAGGTTTTTCTTGCATAACCAATCAATTTAATTTATTTAATTTTATTATATTTATATTCACATATAAATAAAGGTTTTAAATATTAGTAGGCACTACAATCTTATTTTTTTTGTGATTAATTTTTATAGAATATTTTTGAATTTTAAAGTTGAAATTCTATTGTTTTTTTATTTATTGAAATTCAATATTCACTATAAAAGCAAAGAATCAATCTTAAAATTATATTTTGTTTAAAAAAAGATATCATATTTTAAATTTTGAATAATAATGATACTGATAAAAAAAAAAGGTTTTGAATTTTTCTAATATTTTAATAATATTTTTCATAATATTTTTTGAACATAATTCACATTTATGAATCCCCATCCTTTCTTCAAACTTTCTTGAGAATATGCACTTTATTTTGGACCAAATATTTTGAACTTAACATATTCTAATAATTCATCATTTGAACCTTTCAACTAGATAGCTTCTTCAATTAAAAATTTATTAGAATTTATTAAACCTGAAATAAAAATTTTTTAATAAAATTCTCCAGTTAATTAAAATTTCAATTAAGGATTTTAAACATTTTATTCTTTAGGAAATTAGATTTTAATTTTGATATCAGTTTTAGAATAAAGAGAATAAACATCTTAAAATTCTTCTCCATTAATCTAATACTGAATAGAATAATTTTTATATTTTTTAGATATCAATAACTCACTTATGATCTATTAAATTATATCTTCTAGAGAGTTATTTATTAAAGTTAGTATTTCTACATCACTATCTATAAACTCAATCTTTATTGTTTGTTCCAAATTAAACTTTTACTATAAACTTTTGTGTTTTATTGCAAATTAACTTTTTTCGTTTGATTATTGATTAGGTTATTTATTTGGAGGAATCATTTTTAAATTGATACTTTTAATCATTTAAAAATCTTCTAATAATCTACAATCAAATGGTTCAATTTCTTTGTCATTAATAAAAAATGCAAATGTCTAATTTACAGACGACTATTATTCTGAAAATAATTCTAGCAAAATATCATGGAAAACACAAGATACAGGAGTGTTTTTATATTATGATATATTTAGTTCTATTTTTTTAAATTGTAAATCTACTAATACTTCAAAAATTCTTTTTTATTATAATACTAAATTTATCATAAAAATTACTTAATATCTCACCTTCTCTATTACTTAGTTTTATATTAAGTGTACAATTTTTTTTGAATCCTAAAGAATTTAAACTTTTAGTTTCCTTTTAATTGATACTTATTCCTTATTCTAATTAATATTGAATATTTTTTTTATAATTTGTGGGTAATTCATTCTCAAATATTTGCTCTAATTATATTTATTTCAAAAAATCCGAAAATCGTATTTCAGGATTAAATGGAAGTTTTAGTTTTATTTATAATTACTTATAAAAACAAATAATATTAATTGATGATTCCTCCTCTTGATTATTAAGTTTTATATTAAGTGTGCAATTTTTAGTGAATCCTAAAGATTTTAAAGTTCTTATTTCATATTTATTGATAATAGTTCCTTATTCTTCCAATTAATACTCAATATTATTTTTATATTCTTCAGTTATTTCATTTTCAAATATTTGTTCTAATTATATTTATTACAAAAACATCAAAAATGCCATTTCTGGATCAAATGGAAGCTTGAATTTTATTTTTAATTTCTTATAAAAACAATTAATATTAATTGAAGATTCATCTTCTGTACCTTTAATTTTTATATTAAGAGTGCAATTTTCTCGAAATCCTAACTGGTATAAACTTTTAGTTTCATTTTATTTGATACTTATTCCTTATTCCAATTAACATTCAATTTTGTTTTTGAATTATTTAGGTATTTCATCTTCAAATATTTGCTCCAATAATATTTCTTCCAAAAAAACATTAAATTTCCTTTTAGAATCAAATGGATGCTTTAGTTTTATTTTTGATTCCTCATACTAACAAATAATATTAATCATTGGTTCCTAAACCATATGATTATGGCTACCCATAAGCTTAAGTCTAACATAGAGTGTGCAATTATTAGTAAATCCTAAATATTGTAATGATCTGGCTTCATTTTATCTTAGATTGGATCCATTTCCTAATTGATATTCTATAGTTTCTTCATATTGAGCTAGCATTCTTTGAGCAAATATTTACTCTTTAATTCCATTTACGAATATATTAAATGGAATTTCTGGATCAATAGATAATTGTAAATTAAAATTTTCTGATTATAGATTTACAACAACATTAACATTAATTGCATGAGGTTAATTATCACTTCTCCTAAATGAGTCATTATAACCTAATAATTCATTCATTTATAAATTATTTTTAATATTAAATAAATTTTTAATCTCTATTACTTTAATACTTTTTATTACAATATATTATATATATATATTGATTAGATTAAATAAAACTAAGGATTTTTTTTTATCTTAATTAAAATATTCAAATTATAAAATAAAAGTTTTAAAATTGCAAAGAAATATCAAAAATTAATTTGTGTAATCTTAAATCATTTGATATTAAAAATGATTAGTTTAAATAGTTAGAAAATTATTTTACAATTTGGTAGTTTAAATGAAGCATTTTCGTAAATATCTTTTTATAATAAATAATATCTATGGTTTAACTTGGGGATTCATCCATCAAATATAGTAAAAAGTTTATTTTACAATATTATATAACATTTAGCATTTAGTTATATTAATCGGTATTATTTATTGGTTTTATTTGCTTTGGGAATTGGTTTAAAATATTTAAGTACTACCAACTCCCATATGGTGTTTCTTTATTCCCCTCTTAAAAATTCATCAATTTTTTTTAACTAAAAAAAGGTTAATGTAATGCAGTCCTTTAAGGTAATTCTATCTTGAATTAAATAGGCCTGTGATCTGATGGGTTGTAATTTTAATCATAAAATTTTTATAGTTCTTGCTGTTCAAATCTGATAGATTATTATATAAAAATATAATCTATTTTTCTTAAATTTGCATTTTCTATATTATAATTAAATTTTTTATTCTCCAAAATATTTTTATGTTTGATTTCATCAACTGTCTAATATCCCTTGATTGCTTTCTTACCTATTGTTCTGTTAAGATCTCGTTCAAGTATAAATGGATAAATTTACATCTTATTTAATAAAATTCTATATGCTTCTTTATTAATGATTTAATGTATTGTTCTAACATATCTATAAAATTCCACTAAATGTTATTTGTGGTAATGGCCAAAAGTTTATTATTTCTTATCTTTGCTATCCATTTTTATCCTAATGCTTCTAATCTCTCATTTAATTGTTTGTCTCTTATAGTATGAGTACGTGTGCTTTTAGTTCTAGTAACTTCTATCGATCCTATGATTGTTAAATCTGACATGACCTCAAATTATCACTAAAAGACTAATGATTGGGTTGCCTTTTGGCTAGTATTTCATTACCCTATCACTATCCCTTAATAAAAAATGCTTTAATTAGTTGATGACATAATTAAATTTTATATTTTTTTTAAAGATCATCAATAAATTAAATATTATGAACTTGGAATAGGAATTATATATTGAAATGGATGAGCTTTGCATAATTATTGTTATTGTTGTTATAAATTCATAATTAAAAATTTTAATTTACTACTTTCCTCTTCATCCTAAAATTCCTTTTACATCATTTTCCAATTTTATGATATATTATTAAAATAATATTTAAAGGGTTATATGATTTAATGAATGAGCTAATATTCCAAGAATTAACTTTAATTGTAAGTATTTTTGTGTTATGACATTTCTAATTAATATACTCAGTTACTATGGCTGTGTTAATTCTTTAGATATAGTTTATCCTAAAAAAACTCATATTAACTTATGCATTTTTAATATGTGTTACTTAAAGACTTTAATTATTTTCTTTTTGTTCTTAATTTTTCTTAAGCTTTTTTTTATGATTAATTTTTAATAGATATCCGAATAGTTAAACATTAATTATTTGAGATATATAATAGAGGTATAATCAGTACCATAATTCTTATATTGTCTTGAATCTAATCCAAATCATAAATCCACTTTCTTTTTTCAAAAGTTCTTATGAACAGATTCATTGTTTAATCATAAAATTAATAAATTAAAAAATTTAATATTGATAGAATATGGTATTTTAAGACGAAAGAACCCTAAATTAAAACTTTTATTTGGCAAAGATTTAAAATTCTTTGTATTAGATCCTAATAAGTTGATTCATTATTAAAAAACATAAAATCACAATACTAACAAATAAATAAATTTGAGAAAAACTTAGAAATTTTTATTTATAGAAATATGTACATTATTTAGTAATTCAAATAAAAGTGCCTCCTCTTCAGTAATCATTCAAACTTTGAATAAAAGAGCAAAATAAAAATAAATAACTAAAATTTAATAAAAAAGCTGTGAATATAATAAAGATTCATAATGTAACTTAAACCAGTAAATAAGAAGTGAATACTTAGAAAAAGAAAAGAATACAATTTTGAAGAAATTAAACTTGTTATTAATAATAATGGATGAATTGCAAAGTTAAAAAAAAGTTAATAATTATTTTAAGACTTTACCATCTTAAAAATATCTAAAATCAATCATGTCAAAAGTCTGCTTCAAAATAAATAATTTTAAAAATTACTGCTTAGAACCATTGGTTTATGGTGTATATCCAGCCATTATAGATTTGATACTGTAAAAAACATAATGAAAAAATTAACAACTTTTGACTAAATTTAGAAGGATATTACCTAATATTATTATGATTTTGTATATTAATGGGTTTAAAAAAAATAAAATTATTGTATTAATAATTATTATATTATATTTTTCAATATTATCCTCCTTTAAGCTTAAGTCTAACATAGAGTGTGCAATTATTTGTAAATCCTAAAAATTATAATGTTCTGGCTTCATTTTATTATAGATTGGATCCATTTCCTAATTGATATTCTATAGTTTCTTCATATTGAGCTTGCATTCTTTGAGCAAATATTTACTCTTTAATTCCATTTACGAATACATTAAATGGAATTTCTGGATCAATAGATAATTGTAAATT